GCCCCCCTCCCCAGATGCCACCCGGGAGCTCCTGGGCACCCCGCCGCTGAGGCCAAGTGGAGGCCTCAGCCCCCTCGCAGGGCCCCGCACCCCTCCCAGTGCACATGCCAGGCTCTGGGAGGGATCGGGGCACCCTGGGGACAGCGGGATTAGTGGGAGAGTCTGGCTTCGCCCCAGCCAGCTGTGGGGTCTGCAGTCGACGTCCACAGGAGGCCAGGGGCCTCTGGAACAGCTGGCCATGGTGACCTTGTGCAGGCTGCAGGGCCGGCAGGGGCAGGTGACCGGAGGGCAGAGCCCAGGCCCGGGGAGCCAGGCCCCCCTCAGCTGTCGGGCAGGCCGAGCGCCTACAGGAGGCCCACGGGGCAGGCACAGCGCTCACCACCGGCTGCATGCGCACCCCAGTCTGGGGGCCCTGAGCACCAGCTCCCAGCGGGCCGGGGCAGGCCGGCCAGCGGGGACACCCTCTGCCTGTGCGCCTTGGTCGGCCCGGGGGGCGCTGAGACCACGGCCCATGAGAGCGGCTGTGGGTGAGGACGCAGACCCCTGCCAGCGGTCCGGGAAAGGGGCACCCTGCCGCCCCGAGGCTGTGCTACCAGCAGGGAGGGGCAGACGCGGGCCCCTGGGCAGCAGCGGGGACTGGGCTCTCCCACCGGGAGAGACCCCAAGGGCCTGCCATGCCGCTCGGCTGAGGCCATCAGCCGCGCCGGCTCCCGGAGAGCCCCGAGCCCTTGACCGGCCAGCCGGTCCACCGCGGGCCGCCCGTGGCAGCACCTACAGCTGCAGCCCAGCCAGACACCGTGCGTCCACCACGGGGCCCACAACTGACCCTGCCGGCTGGCCCGGGACCTACTAGTCGGCAAGTGCCACTCAGCTGCCAGGTGCAGCCTGCCCGGCCCACCACCCTTGGGCGCAGCTCTCTGGAGATGGACATCTGGGGCCCGGCCAGCGCATGGTCCCTACACTCCTGCCCCCAGGGGGAAGAGGAAAGCCGCGCCCAGGAGGAAAGGGGCAGGGGCAGGGGCAGCAGCGGCCCGCGGGCTGCAAGCCAAGGAGCAGGGGCGCGCCCCTCCCCCAAGGAGCCGTGACCTTGAAGGCGGGTCCGGCTGCAGTCCAGCCCTCACGGCCAGGTGGCTCCCACCTGGTCGGCCACCGCCCCGC